GCTGCTTGGCCTGCTGTGTTCATCCAGCTCTACACCGTGTTACTTTGAAGACAGTTTTTATTCTTATTCTGGACTTTTAAACTCTGTGTTCCCATGCCAGTCCTTTTTTTAACTGTTTCAATTCTGTAACAACACTTAAAGTATGTGTACCTAGGTACCCTGTATCTAAGATGGCATCGAGCAGCGACATTACAAACTTTTCATTGCAGTCTTTCCAGTGTACATGACAATAAAGGCTATTATATTCTTATAAATGTTTCTGATCAATATGCTTGTTTCAAAGGCACAATATGGAGAATTTAATAATAGTAAATTAACAAAAACATCTTTTTTTGGCTTAAGGTCCTTTAAAATAAAGGAGCTTGAGGCATACACAGAGGGTGGTGCATGTTTGGAACAAGCTGCCAGAGCAAATGGTGGATGCGGGTATAATTACAGTATTTGAAAGGCATCTGGATGGGTATATGAATAAAAAAGGTTTAGAGATATACGAGCCAAATGCTGGCAAATGGGACTAGGTCAGATTGGGAAGACTGGTCAGCATAGACAAGTTGGACCAAAGGGTCTGTTTCTGTGCTGTAAAACTCTATGACTCTATACACACACAACACAACATTAGCCAGCAAATTGTTTGAGCAGCATTGAATACAGTGGTACATGGGACCACACAGACACCTTAACACAGTTGACTCCATTGCAAATGCCCAAAACATTAACACTTCTGATGAGCAACTCCCCTGCTTCTATAGAAAGCAAGAAGCTCCAGTAAGTATATGGCGTCTTGCAACTATTGCATACCAACTAGAACAGTTGGAGGACCTGCAAAGTCTTCTAGCTTGCAGCAAAAAATTCTAGCATATTACCCCTGTAGCATAAAAGCTGATGCTTGAAGTGTACTGCAATCAAGTTTAAAAAGCAGATAGGCAGCAAGTAACAATTGTGCAATACAAGTGTCAGGCAATGGTAATCCCAAATGAGAGTCCAATCACCTATCCTTGACATTCAACAGCATTATGAATGCTGAAGCAATCATCAGCTGGATCAGCATATAAATGCTGTGGTTATATAAGTATTGAGGACTGGGAATTCTGCAACAAGTAACTCAGCTCCCAACTCCTTAAAGCCCGTACACCATCTACTAGGCACAAATCAGGAATGTGATGAATTCCATTTGCTTCAATGAGTGCAGCTCCAAGAACATTCGAGAAATTCATCACCAAGGACAAAGCAGTCCACTTGATTGATCCACCACTTTAAACATTCACTCCCTCTTCTATCAAAACATTGTGGCTGCAGTATAAAACATCAACAAGATGCATTCAGAAACTTGCTAAGGCTGCTCCTACAAAAGATTTTTAAATGTATGATCTCTAACAACTCAACACATGGACCGGTTAAGAAGCAGGGGCCTCCCACCTCCTTTCCCATTCCTATAATCCAACAGAAAGGTTGCTCAGGTTTCCCATTAGCCACCTTTCTAGCCTGTTGGAGGGGCAGACAATTGTAGAAATAGCAAATTGAAACCCTTAACTAACTATTAGGGACCACTTAAGGGTCTTAATTGGTGGCAGGTTAAAAAAACCACCCATCAATCTTCTAGCTCAGACCATATGTGGCAAGAAGACGTTGAGTTTCTATGCAGGGTCAACTCGCCTCATTATTTCTTCTGACCACTAATCACACCAACTCCAGGGAAGAGAAAATCACACCCTATGCTGTGGTCACAATCATAGATATTTTGATTTATATTCCATCAGCTTTTAAGTGCTGTTGTTAAAAGCTTTGTACCCTCTAAGAGTGAGGCATACCTTAACAACTGTACAAAAATATTTAAAGGATATATTACAGTTCAAGAAAGACCAAACAAATAATGTTGTCATCTGAGAAAAGCTAGTATTTTTTTTAATAGCTTCTTCGGCACTGCTGCACACTGGCTATTTTGAATAAAGTAAGTTATTTTTGTAAAACTGAACAGTCTGTGGATGTTGGCACAGGTTTGTAATGAGCTATATCACAATGTAAAACATATTTTTCAACCGAGATATATATTATTTCTTTGTTTGAAAGTGCCGTGCCTACTCACAAATGCTTATTTTGTGATGTAACTGCCATGACTTTATAAAACATATATTTATTTTTTAATGTAGATTTGGGTTTCTGCATGTCTGAAGTTTAATTATTAATTTGTTAATTATTCCAGTAGCCATGGTGATTTCTTTTAAAATTTTTATTTGGCCTGGCCTTAGAGTGAATGAATTTTATACACCGCCAGTGACTTTATTTTAGATTTTTTTAAAAATTTAATTAACATAAACAATGGGGCCTCAAGATTTATTGGGAATATCTAGAACTCGTTTTTGTAAAGCTTATGGGAAACACCCATAGCTAAGACAGGGAGATTTTTGGGTTTCAGTTTTTACTCCAAGTAGAGCAGTCCTCTGAAGTCCTTGGAATAGCACGGTTACATAGGCCAATACTCACGAGAAGGTAAGAATATATTGTAAAATAAGTTACCTTAGTGTGAGGAGTAAGTGTTAGTCCCAGACCAAAAGTGTTGGGATAAAAGCCTGAGGAAGGTTACTTAAAGACGAGTACATTTAAACAGATGTACTCCAGGCAGAAGCTACCTGCAGTTCGAAGTGATGTCACAACTGACTTGAACCTACTGAAGTGTTTGATACAGAGACTCCAGTGTGAGTAATGTACAACAGGATTTATACAGTTAATGGTAGGGCCCTGGGGACAGTTGCCGAATAAAGAGACTTGGGGATGCAGGTGCATAGTTCCTTGGAAGTGGAGTCTCAGCCAAACAGGGTGGCGAAGAAGGTGTTTAGCACACTTGCCTTCCTTGGTCAGAACATTGAGTATAGAAGTTGGGACGTCACGTTGTGCTTGTACAGGACATTGGTGGTGCAATTTTTAGAATATTGCATACAATTCTTGTTGCCCTTCTACAGGAAGGATGTTATTAAACTTCAGAGGGTGCAGAAAAAAATTACAAGGATGTTCATAGGACTACAGGGTTTAAGTTATAGTGAGAGGCTGAATAAGCTGGAGCTTTTTCCCTGGAGCATTGGAGGCTGAGGGGCGACCTAATAGAAGTTTTTAAAATAATGAGAGGCATGGATAGGGTGAATAGCCATAGTCTTTTTCCTAGGGTGGGGGAGTCCAAAACTAGACAGCACAGGTTTATGGTGAGAGGGGAGAAATTTAAAAAAGGACCTGAGGGGTAACTTTTTCATGCAGAAGGTGGTACATGAATAGAAGGGGAAGCCAGAGGAAGTCATGGAGACAGTTATAACATTGAAAAGGCATCTGGATGCATATATGAATAGGAAGGGTTTAGAGGAATATGGCCAAATACTGGCAAGTGGGACTAGTTCAGATTGGGATATTTTATCGGCATGGACGAGTTGGACTAAAGGGTCTGTTTCTGCGCTGTAAGACTCCATAAGTGGCGTTTTGGGTTCTACACAAAAGCTATTTTGTTTCTTAGAAAGGAGTGTTTTGGGATTACTGGAATTACACTTTTATTGTATGTTTAAAAATCTTTGAATTTGTACTACAAGTAAATGATTTGGTTAATTCTATTTTATATTGACATCTTTTGTTAATAAACCTCTTTTATTGTTAAAAGAAAATCTGCAGCATTGCATGCTTGTCTTTCAATGAAAGATTACTTTGTTAAAACTAAAATATGATATATCAAGCCAGGTTCCGATCTGGGATCACAATAACTTCTA